GATTTTCAGTATCTTCAAGATGACTGGATGTTGAAGCAAATTGTTTATTTCCAGTATCTTCAAGATGGTTGGATGTTGTAGGAATAAGACTTTGCTCGTTCCTTTTCTTGATACGACAAAGTGCCTGTCTCTTTCTAGCTTTCTCCTTATGTTGATTTATTATTAAAATTTAAAAATATAAGAATTACTCAATTTTATAAAAATAAGTTTAGTTTAAAATATTTATTATTGTGGACATAAAATAAAATTACTAAATATATACTTCATAAACATATTTATAAAAAATAATGGAAAATATTAGAATAGCCCCTCACCTAATAAATATATATTTCGGAATCACATCTTATAAGATAGGAAAAATCTGATTCCTCGTCATTCTTGACGGGCTATCAGCTAACATACAATACAAATTAAAAAAAATATAAAATTTACTCTTGTTGAAGCAATAATGCCTTCTTTAGATTTTGGTAGTATGAAACATTCCATTGTTTGGTTTTGTTGAATGGTATCTTGTGTAGGAATCTAAAAAAATAATAAAATAGATTTTAATGGCCCACAGTAATGTTCAACTTGTTCTTGATTTTCAGTATTTTCAAGATTAAGATGTGTAAATTGAAAGTATATGGTTTTGCTCGATGTGGTGTCTGTTAAAAAATATAATTATTTACTGATGATTGAAGGTTTTGCTCGATGTTGTGTCTGTTAAAAAAATATCAATTATTGTAATTATTATATTATTATATGTTTTGTAATTGTTTTTTGTATTGAAATTCTTTTTTTGAAAATGGCGGTTCGATTTGGTTTATGAATGCGTGTTTGATATGTTTAAGCTATGATGATTTTTATTTAATATATATATTATAGATTTGAATTCCTTAGCTCTTATAGGATTATCTGCAAACATTTTTTTCATACTAATGTTCCTTCCTGCCTATTGCCTCAAAATACTTCTGAAATGCTTTCCATGATTTATAGGAGATTAAATCCATTTTGCTAATATGATCTAAATTGGCTTAAAATTGCTATGATAGATAGATAGATAAATTATAGATATATAGAAAGAACAATATATTTGACATCAATTAAGACAAAATATTTACATTTCAACTTAGAAATAAATGCTATTTAAAATAAAATATAATATTATAGATGGCGCTAAATATCATGGAGATTAAAACTACAATTTAACATATACTTCCGAATTTGTTAATATTAATTAAATATTATTAAGAATCACTCCCTATTTAAGTAGGACAAACGTCCAATAATTAATAAAGAAGTTCAATATTACATAATATATTAACAAAATTATAATTGACTATTATCAGGTAAAATAATTGACTATATAATGTCACAGTTGTGACTGTAACTGTGACAAGCCTTTTATTATATAAGATTATAAAAATAGATTTATTGATTTGATGTTTTTTTAATAAAAAAATGATATGCTGCTATTGTTGGGTTGTATTATAATATTATTTTTGTTACAATTTATTAGTTATTTTCACACGCCCAAAATTTTAAGCAAAAATAATTTTTTAAGTTCAAAAATAATAAGAATTTTAAATTTTCTTTGTATTTGAGGGAATTTTTGGAGAATTTTCTTATAATAAACAATATTTGAGGTGAAATCTTTTATGTTTTTTTAAATCATCTTTGTAAAATAATCTATATTTTTGTATATTAAAAGAGGTGGTTTTTTCAAAATAATTTTTAAAAATATTTATATTAAACTTTTTTATGCTAATAATTTTTAAAAATAATTATAATAATTTTTAATATGTATTCTTAAGGAAAATATTTTAATGTGACAATTGCCATATTCGTTTTTTTAAACATTTTTGAAACTTTTTGACAAATTTATATTGTAAAGAGGTTAAATTACAAATTCAATGAAGATATAACACATAAATGTGACAATTGTCATAATCGTTATTTTTAAAGATATTAGATTTTTTTTTGACACTAATGGACAAAAATATATATTGTAAATATGTTTAAATAAAATTTTATAAAGATGTACTATAGATAAGTGACAATTGTCATAATCGCTATTTTTGAAATTTATTTAATTTTTTTACGCAAATGGGTGTAAATATAGATTCTAAACATGTTAAATTAAAATTTCAGTGAAGATGTACTATAGATAAGTGACAATTTTCATAATCGTTATTTTTAAAGTTTTTTGAATTTTTTTGACGCAAATGGGTAAAAGTATATATTGAAATAAAATTTTATGAAGATGTATTATAGATAAGTGACAATTGTCATAATCGTTATTTTTAAAGTTTTTAAAATTTTTTTGATGTAAATGGGCTAAAATAAGTATTGCTAACATGTTTAAATAAAACTTCAGTGAAGATGTACCCTAAAGTGATGAAGATGTACTATAGATAAGTGACAATTGTCATAATCGTTATTTTTAAAGTTTTTAAATTTTTTTTGATGTAAATGGGCTAAAATAAGTATTGCTAACATGTTTAAATAAAACTTCAGTGAAGATGTACCCTAAAGTGACAATTGTCATAATCGCTATTTTTGAAGTTTATTTAATTTTTTTACGCAAATGGGTATAAATATAGGTTCTAAACATGTTAAATTAAAATTTCAGTGAAGATGTACTATATAGATAAGTGACAATTGTCATAATCGTTATTTCTAAAGTCTTTTGACGCAAATGGGTGTAAAATTAGTTTGTTGTAATTTATTTTATAGGTATAGAAAATAAATATAAATCATTATTATTTTTAAGCTAAAGATAATTTGATTGATAAATAATTATTCATTAACTCAATATTTTTCAGAGAATTCGATGTAAATATTAATTAATTTTTTTATTAAATATTTTTAAAGCTGGTTTTTATTCATGTTTTTGAATTTTTAAATGTGGTTTTTGTAAATAATAATTTTTTTATCAGATAGATGCAAAGGTGTCATTTGCATAGTCCGATTTTTTAAAATAGAAAAATTTCATCCTGGCTCCGATTTTCAAAAAAATAATTAGGCCTGTCCAGGATTTCGTACTATAACTATATATTCAGGGCCGGCTCGTCCCTTTAATGTTATTTTTGGTCTAACTAAACACCATCTTTCAATCGTTTAAGTTGATTATTGATATTTCTATCTTCAATATCAACAAATATTTTACCTTATAATATATATATATATTTTGCTCCTTATGGAAAATCCTCTCGTTAAGCCACATGAGTGGCCTCCAGAACTCTTAGGTAGCTCACATGCTTATTTTTAACTATAAATATATTTAAAAAATCTTCCACTCCAGTCTAGTACTTTTTAATGCATATTATTAATATTTAATTTTTTAAATAACTTATACATTTTAAGAAAATATTAAAAATACAATACATCTAGGATTAATTTTCTTTAATGCCGCTACGTCTATTTGTTATATAACTGAATTAAATAAAGAATTCATATATTTATGAACAGCAGTTTAACCTAGCGTTGTAAACGCTCATTTTCAGGTGATTTTTAAAAACGGCTAACTCAATTTTTCCAGAAGAATATTACGCAAACCTGAAGATTTTGCTCATAGAAGGAACAAAGGTATAGACGTATACTTTTTTAAATCTAGAGGCTTAGGCAATATTTTTTTGGCTAAAATATTGAGTTAGCCGTTTTAAAAAATCGGCTCAAAATCAGCCATTTAACAACAATATTATAACCTGGAAATCCATATATCATTATTTCTCAAGATAATAAAAATAAAAAACAAAAGTTTGCCATACCGATGAAATAAGTGTCGTATACCTTTTTTAATTATGGGATCTTCCTTTTGGCTTAAGCCTGAGTCAATTTTTGATTCAAAAACAAGCTGAGTTTAGGACTAAGCCGGCTTGGCTCAGCCGTTTAACAACGCTAACAAATAAATAAATTTCGAATCAATAGTCGGCTTGATCTAAGTCCTAAGCCGACTCGAGCTAAATTTGACTCAAAAAGCCGGCTTGAGTCAATTTTAGACTCAAAAACTAGATGAGTTTTCAGCCGTTTAACAACACTAATCTTAAATAAATTTCGGCTTGAGCCAACGGCTGAGCCAGCCGGCTTGATCCTGAGCCGAATTTTTGGCTCAAAAACTGGCTGAGTTTTCAGCTAAGCTGGCTTAGCTCAGCCATTTAACAACACTAGATGTAACTAAAACTATGTCAAAACATTTTTGAATAATTATTTTTACCTATTTTTAATTTAAAAATATGGAATGAGTATTATAACAATTGTCACCTTTACAGGTAGTATATTATCATTGAAATTATATCTGAACATGCTTAAAATACTTATTCCAGCTTATTTTACTAAAATTATTTTTAAAGGTTCTGAGATGAGTTTTATGACAATTGTCACCTTTATATATTTTACAATCACTGAAACCATCTCGAAACATGCTCAAAATATTTATTCTAGCATATTTTAACTAAAATTATTTTAAAAGGTTCTGTGATGAGTATTATGACAATTGTCACTTTTCTAGTTTACATTAAATATCAATACATTAAAATTATGTCAAAACATTTTTGAAATTTTACTTATTCAAAATATTTACCATGAATTGTCACATTTACAAAGTAAAATTATTCAAAAATTTTTAAAATCAAAAAATAAAATATTAAAGATTTTACTTGAATCATTTTATTTTAAAAAAATCACAAAAGATTTGCTCAAAAAAGATTTTTCGATCAAAAATCTTTTGAGTTATAATCAAATGCTCATTTGAAGATTTTTGTTAAACCCTGGTTACAATTTAAGCAATATCATTAATTCTCATAAATTTCCGCTAATTCACTGTTATTTCCAATAATGCCTATGAAAAAGTTACTGCAGTAAAAATTCTGTCAATTCATTTTATTTTACACTACTTTAAGCTAACCACTCGAAATCTATAAGTAAACATAGTAGTTGCCAATATCATATCTTTAAAATATATCAATATTTTGAAAATAATTTTTTTGAATTAAATTCTTATTTTAAAAAAAATATATAAGCAAACAATAGAAAAATCAATTTCTAAAACCAGACGCCGAAAAAGGGTGGAAAAAGATAGAACCACAATTTTGGAATCCGCAATAGAAAACGATGAAATTATTAGTACTAATTTATGCGAAGATTCCGACACAGTCGCCGATATGCCGAAAGAGGATATACCAGACAAAATCATTAGTATTAATTTGTGCGAAGATTCCGACACAGTCGCAGACACACCGAAAGAGGATATACCAGACAAAATAGATGCCAAGTACAACCATTGCTAAATTTTTTATATTGAAACAAAAATAAGAAGTAAATTCAATACATTAATACTAACTTAGACTGACTAATTAAAATCACGGACATGGATTGAAACGTTCTGGGTATGGCAATTGGGGGAAAGTATGGAAAACTATCAGAATAATAATGGCGATACCGGAAACGTTCCCAGAACAGTGCTGGAACGTTCCAAAAAATATTATAATAATGGCTCATTTATATATATATTCTTTTTTCTTTCTTTAATTCCAGTTTGCTTCACATGTACTCATTATATATCATCTATTTTAGATTATGATTTTTCTTTAAAAAGTTCCTCTGAAAAATCATGTTTTTTAGTGAAAATTGTCTTTTTTTATTTCCAATTTTTTGAGAATTTCTAAAATGAGCCCCCCTGAAGTTGAAAAGTAAACGACGTGGTTACATTATGTTATGTTTATTCAGTTCAATTATTTCTTTATTTAAATTAATTTGATTGAAATTAATTCTCAAAAGAAGAATAATAAAAAAAAATAACCTGATCAAATTTAGTAAATAGAATTTTATTAAAAATATTGATTTAAATCGCTGATTTTTTTAAAAATTCTAGAATTGTTAGTCTAGGTCGGTATAATGTCATTGGGCCAACTATTTGTCAACATTAACTGATAATAGAAATATAAAAGTGGGATTAAACAAGTAGATATGTTTTATTGTCTTTAACGTTTTTTTAATTATAAATTTGCTATATAAATTTGCTATATAAATTTTTTAGCGATACTATCATGATATTTGACCATTGCACAGACGAGCCTGCCACCCAGGAGCCTTTGAATCAAGTAATTATTTTTTTATCTTAAGTTAACATAATTTTATACTAAATTGTGAACCCTAATTAGGGTTCATAAATTTAAAATTGTTTATTTGGGCATTTTGGGAACACAAACCAAACATTTATTTATGGATCTTTTATCAATCCTGGTTTTAGATCTGGGCGGACTCAAACTCTCTTGTTTAAGTTTCTGCTAATTCAAATTTGAGTTCGCAGAGCCTTATTTTTTTAAAGGTAAGACTAGGACAGAGTTACACAAACTATTTCAGAGTTTAATTACTATAGTATTATCTATTCTAGAGATCTGCATCGGGCCTAAATATCACTAGGCCCGGCCCAATAAATAAATGTCATAGCCCTAACCTAAATAATTTTTAAAATAGGCCCATTCTACTGGGCCGGGCCTTGCAGATCACCAATCTATTCTATTTTTGTATAAAATAAATGCATTTTTATTCCAAAAAATATATATTATGAAAAGGGCAATAAAAGCCAGGAAGAAACAATTTCATCTGCCCAATCCTATAATGTTGAAAAAAAGTTGGCAGACTGCACAAGTCAGTTGCAAACTACACAGAACTATAACGATAGCAGACAAGAAATAAATCTGTATAACATGAACAGCCACAACAATAAATCTCTTGGTGAAAGGCATTTTGAAATCCGAAACAATCTAAAAAATCCTAGGGTCTTACTCGATAATAGTTTTAAATCAAAAAACGATTCACAATCGTGCATTCTAGCCAATAGCAAGGGAGCTTTCACTCCACTAGGTTCAACCAATAAGCTCGGTCTTAATTTTTGGACCAATAACCCTTCCGAAATAAGACACAAGCAGCTACCCAGTAGAGAAATCAAGGTATTCATTTATTAAAGGCTTGGAATTTTTAAGGAAAATTGTAGAGAAGAGAGAAGAGAACATCCAAAAGCACAAAATGACTAATTTTTTTGTTTGTACATTTTCTATTTTTAATATATATTTTATTTTCATATTTGATAAAAGATTACTAAACTGACAGGGATTAGAAGAAGCTCCAGATTAACGCCACAAACTAGATTTTTAACACCTCACCATCTCACAGCCAATAGATTGAGGAACTTTCAAAATAGTGAACTGAGCAAGATATGTTCTATGCGAGATTTAAATGTAATTATTATTTTATTAAACTTTGAATCTATTTAATTGTAGCATAATTTAGTTCTATTAGAGACCTGCAGGTCCGGCCCTAAGCTCGGGCCGTATTTTAAATTTTTTAAATATACCCGGGCCAGGCTGAGCCTAAAATTTTTTTTTTAAACATATCCGGGCCAGGCCTAAAATTTTTTTTTAAAATATATCCGGGCCGGGCCTAAGATTGTTAAACCCGGGCCGGGTCTTAATATTTTTTATAAAAATTTTTACATTAAGAGTTAATGGTTATAAGATCATATTATATTATAGTTATGATTAATATAATATTGGGTGATGGTTAACACTACCTAACACCCACTAATCGATCTAATTATTAATTTCCTGCAAATTTATTCAAAGTATTAATATATTATCTAAATTTTTACAACATATTTTACCAAAACATCAAATAAAGGAATATCTTAAATAAGCCCCAATATTCAAGTATTATTAATATATTTTTTTATAATTCATATCTAAATTTTTAGAATATATTTTACCAAAACAATCAAATAAAGGAATATTATTTCTTGAAGTTTGTAATACCTTTCAAAGCGAAAAAGGAGAAATAAAATTGATTTTACTTAATATAAAGCATATTTTAATTGAAAAATTTGTTTTACACAAGTATCATTTTATTTCTCTTTTTCTCTGTCCCAAATTCAAGCAATTATGTATGTTGTCAGGAACAGATCGCAAGATGACGGAAAACTATATAAAAGATTTTATTAAATTACAAGAGGCTCAGGAAGCAAATGAAATACCATCGACCAGTCAAATTACGACTGTTGTTAAACAAACTGAATCGTTTTATGACAAATGAGGCGATGGTAATTCTGGTAATATGTCAGTACCCGATGATGAATATTATAATTACATAAATAAATAAATAGATGAAACATTTAAGGTGTATAATTTGTTAGAGTGGTGGGCCGCTCATCAAAGCAAATTTCCAATTTTAGTAAAATTGGAAAAACGGGTATTGGCAATTCCTGCTTCAAGTTTAAGCTGTGAGCGGAATTTTTCCACTACTGGGAGAATTCTTGAAGAAAGAAGAAGTAATCTTCAACCTGAAAATGTAGATATGCTTCTCTATCTTCATGATAATTTGTGAATTTTTAATATCTTTCTTGAGTATAGGGTTTCGTCAATCATGCTGGTTTTTTACTTTGCAAACTGTCAAATATTTATTGCATTTATTATATTTTACCTTGAGTCATGAAAGTTTTTAATCCAACATTTGTCATTATTTTTTTTTACAATATTATAGTTAAAAATTTTAAAAATAATTTAAAAACAAAAAAAAACAGCTTTTATTTTTTTTAATGAAACGCAGGTTTTTATCCCTTACACTACACGGCCTCAATAAAAGAAATGAATACGTCAATTTTTTTAAAGCTTTTAAGACATTATAGTAGTGATCTGCATCGGGCCTAATTTCTCAAGTCCGGCCCGGCTCGAAATTTTTTTAAAATAATTTGCCGGCCCGACCCGAACTCGGAATCTATTTTAAAAAGTTTAGTCGGCCCGAACCCGAAATTTTTTTAAAAAGTGTTGTCGGCCCGGCCCGAATTTATTTAAATATAGAAATTAATTTTTATAATTATTCAAAATATACATCTAGTTTCTATAAAAAATCTAATATTTTTATTTTACATTAAAATTTAACATAAAATTAATAAATTTAGATATATTAAAAAAAATTCCAAAGACCGACCCGACCCGGCCCGAATTTTTTAAAAATTATTAGGCCTGGCCCAACCCGAACCCAATTTCTTTTTAAAAAAATAGGCCGGGCCTACTTTTGCAGATCTCTACATTATAGTACAATCCTTTACCCTTTACACCTATAAAAAACTTTAAATAATTTTTCCTTAAACCATTTTAGAATCTCGTAAGATTAAAAGCTGGTGGTATAGTTATTTGCTTGGATTTACATTTTTTGGCTAATCTTGAGCCGATATTTTTGGCTAAGCCTAAGTCAATTTTTCTCATTATAGACCCGGTCGTTGAACTGTTAGGTATAAAGGGTTAGTTTCTACCAGTCCTTAGTTTAAAATTTTAAAACCATTTAATTCTATTTCTGTTATTTTTACAAATTTATTGGTTCACTCCAGCTTAGAAATTTATGTATAAAATATAATTGAATATCTCAATTTTATTAAATAAAAATAAGAAATAGCAAATTGAGTAACATAATAATTAATAACATAATAAACATCAGAGACCTGATGAAATACCATTTGCATGGTCTGGCCCGAATTTTTTTAAAAAAATTTAAAATATATTATATTTATACTTAATTTTTATAGATTATAATAGCTAATTTAGTTATTCGGTCCAGCACGTTTTTTTAAAATATTTTTAGGCCTGGCCTGCGTATTAAAAAATTATTTTTTAGGTCTGGTCCGTGTATATTTAAATAAATACGACCCTAAATGAATATTATTTCTTTTAAATTGAATTAGAATGAACTAATAAATATATATGTTATAAAATAAATACGAGTAATTTAAATTATATTAATCAATAAATTAAATAATTAAAAATTATAAACTAGTACAAAAAACTTTATAACAGTTCGGTCCTCTCCTTTTGAATTTTTTTTATAACAATTCGGTTGAGGTTCAGAAAATTGTATAATGTTATTTCGGGTTCGTGGTTTGGTTCAACATCCTGATGAAATAGGTAATTGTTTTAAATTGCAAATTTTAAAACAAAACAAATGACCTTATTTGATAAATCAACACTTATTGAGCTGATATAAATTTATGTAACAAATAATTAAATCAGAAAGTTGTCCTTTTAGAATTAAAAACAATCTATCATTTAATTAGCGTAAACTTGCCCGGAAAATTTTTGAAAAGGATTTTATGGCCAGTTCAAATTTTTTTTTATTCTGGCCTCTAATTCTTAAAATAATTTGGTACAAGTATTCTGGCTAGTAATAATTTTTTACCATAAATTTTCCTAATTCTTTACTTAAAAAATTGGAAAATTCGGCCTGGCTTATTAAAATTTTTTGCAAACCGGTTTTCCACCATGTCAATTTTTTTTAGCCTGACCCACTAACTGTTGTGGGTTGGGCCATGCAGATCTCTTGTTTTATACATCCTGGTTTTTAAACAAACTCTGATTAAGCTATGCAATGGAAACTTGGATCATATTGTCGATAAACAAACTGTGGAAGATGAGATTGATTCCAAAATGAAGGCAGCTCAGCAAAAGAAGCAGAATCTCCTTAAACTAAAGGCGATGCAAGCCAAAAAGTTTTAATTCTTTTTATATATTTTCTAAAGAAAAGAAGACTTTTTCATCGTTTTTTTTCTTTTCTCCTACTTATAATATAATATCTTTATTCAACCTTTATTTTATAATTTCAAGTCTCAGGGAGAAGAGAGAGCAAAGGATGCAACAGTTAAAAATGTCTAAAGTTCAAGGTTTGATTATTTTAACAGAAACTAATGTCTTACTTTCACACCAATACAAAAAATATTTAGCATCCATTAGTACTACCAACGAAAACTTCCACAAAAACAAAGCTATTAAATTTGTCACCTCCAATCACCCAATTTCCGTTAATAACATAGTTAAAAAATTTAATAACCTGAATCAGGAAAATAATAATGCTAAAGGCAATATCAAGCTGCTTAAACCCATAAAAGTTTTCAAAAAATCTCTTAATGACAACAAAAATAACATTTTTTGCGAAATTATTGACTCCGTACGAGAAAACATTGATAACGTTCTGGAAGATCCCCAAAATTTGGGAAATGAGATAGATATCAGTTTCAAGCAAGAGCCCGAGGTAAATGTTTCATTACCCACGAGATCAGATGATGATAAGGTTACGAACCAACACGGAAGATTTACAAATATCTTTAATTCAGACGAATTTTTTTTTAGCAAAAAGATATCCTCCAAGAGGAAATCTAGTAATGCTATAGAAACTAAATGGAAACTATTGAAAGATATGTGTGGTGTAATAATTTAATTTTTTTTCTTATTTTAAAAAAATGCTTATCTCCAGTTTTCAATTGGTGCCATAGCATTGCTAGATTTCCTCTTTGATTTGATAGAAACCGAATTCGACTGAATTAAAGATATTTGTAAAACTTTTGTGTTCGCCCCAAATTTGTTGGAAAATAGTAATTTATTAAACTATCTTTAATAAAATATTAATCCTAGCCATCTATCTTCCTAATCGTTCTACCATTTATTTAAAACTTAGCTAACTGCTATAGTCCTAAAGGGGGGGGTATATAGGCTTTGCGGATTAAAAAATTGAGTTTTAATATGTGCAAACACTCATTTCAAAGATCATTTTTGCAACAACCTATTATAAATGCTAGAAAGTTCTGATATGGTCCTAGCCTAAAATTATTAAAAATTTTAAATTATATTTTTAAGCCTTTAATCAAGCCACTTTACCTATCGCCTCGACATCTTGAACTTGAAGTATGCCTGCAAAGGATCGACTATCCAAAAAATCATGCTCAGTCAACTAACCATACTCAACAAAATAGGATTTATCAAATAAATTCCCAGCCCTACTTAGAAAAGGTTTTACTGTGGACATGCCAAATTATTTTTTTTGCAGTTCTCTGATAATAATATACAGATGTTTTAATACGGATTATTTTAATGTTAAATAAATAAATTTAAAGTGGAGGGGACTGAAGGATAATTTTAAATTCTCTCCCGCCCTTGACTTCTGTTTTAGTTGTGTATTTTTACATTATATATAACTTTATATAATATTCAATATCAATCAAATAATGTTTAAATGTAAATTCGTAGATTTTATATTTAATTTTATACAATATCATATTACAATTTTACAAGTTTTGCATGTCGAATATCAAACGAATGTTAATCAATTTTTATTCTGGAAAATGTGAATAAAAATGGGGATTCCTTTGTTAGAGAAATAGATGTGGATTGGAAATAAAAATATTTACAATAGCCATTTTTAACAACTTCATTTTCGAAACCGTTACATTATTTATAACTACGATACGTGTATAATGTTATAATTAACAACATGTTGTTGGTTGGTAGCAGTTACGTATTAGTGGGTAGTCAAATAGGCATTTGACTCTAGAAATTTTGCTAAATTTTAAATACGCCACTAGGTGCCAATAATATAGAACTTTGCTTCTATTATCATTATAATGACAAGTTTTTCGATTAAAATACGATGTATTAGTAGTTATTGTTATAAAACAGCAGTTTATTATTTAATTTGAATACAAGCCTCCACACAATTATAATGCCAAATTTATATAATTTGTAAGGATAAAATTTTGATTTACCGTTGAGACTCTTCTGTTATACATGGGGCCAATCAATGGCATATAATTACACACATAGATTGACGATTCATTCATTTAAAATGCATTTTGCGACCAATGCTAATCAGTTGGTGACACGCCATTTTAGTTTCCTATATAAAATTATTTATTTATAAAATTTTAATGTAAATTGTTTATACAGAACACCAAGATTGTGTGGCACCCGATGATTAGTATTGATAAACATTTTAATAAATGAATCATCAGTCTTGGTATTATTATATGGCATTATGGGTCGGCAGGACCTACTATTATTCCTGCGCGAGATATATATTATTTTTTAAAATTTTTTTATTTATTTATCCGAATATAATAAATTTAAAGGTTAAGTGTATCAGATATAACTATTTTTTTATTTTATTCGAAGCCACATAGAACTTCTGATTATTGTTTTGTTAGGATTCGCCTCTTAATTTGCCAATTTTTTAAATTTGTTTGAATATTTATAAAAATTTTGGAAATTGAATTAATTCTCATGTGAAACATTACCAGTGTTAGGCGGGAACAGGTGGAATATTCATGATTTATTTAGAAACTCGATCAAAATCCTCCAGATCTCTAAATATGCTCGGCACTGCGTTTGGTTAATAATAATTATTATGGGAGATCGAAATCACTCATAGACATATCTTGAATTTTGTTGGGGTTGGGGCACTATTGGGCTTGATTTTCCCCATAAATTTTATTGGAGATCTTTAGGTCCACTTATTGCCTTTTGGTTATGCTAGATTTTTATAAAAATAATTTTGGGCTTTTACTTTTTTTATTATTAAATTGTTTTTTTCTAAAAAAATCGTAACTATAGGCACTATTTAAAAAAGTTATTAACTTTTTTTCTTACAAATTATTTCTTATAGTGATATGTTGTATACCTTTGGGATAGGGGAGAATTTTTATTAGCTTAAAATGATATTTACGAGAACAAGCAAATTTGCGATGGAGGATTTCCTTTCCCTCCCTTTGGCTACGCGTCTTATCGCCTTTTTTTCCTTTCACACCAAGTTCAACCTTTTCTTCCAACTGACTAGATTAAGTTATAATTTTGATTTAATGAATTCTCAAACTTGCACTTGGATATGGGTAAAGTAAGCAATAGCTTAGCTCTCAATTATCCAATTATTGTTGTATCAAATCAATGAAATTAAATATTTGACTACTCTACTATTTTATCTTTCTTTGGGATTTTTATAGTTATTATAAAATCTTAAATGGAGAATACTTAAATAAATGAGTAGTTTGATGTGAAAATGGAATATGAGTACCTATATGATACCAGAGGTAATTATTATTTCACGTTTTGATGGGAATGAAAGAAAAGTTAAGGCTTGTTTAAACAGAATCTATAAATTAAATGTATGTGAAAAAGTTTTGGTAATTTAAAGCTGAAAATCGCAAAATTTGTTTTTTTTCTAACATTTGCATTTTTTTTACCTTAGGAACTCGTCTCAACGCCAAAGGGTGGGAGTCAAGACAAATTTTATACAGCATTTACCTGACAGCACAATTTCTAAGTGATTACATCCAGAGGGCTAACCTAGGCACGTACATAGTGGGTAGGGGGTAAGGAAAACCTTCCAAAGTCAAAAAAATTTAGATGCCGGCTAAAATATTTTTCAAAAAATTACTGATTCCTACCTCTTATCGCAAATATATTCCAATTTTCACATATTTTTCACATTCATAGCAGAAAGAAATATGCTACTAATTTATTCTATGAATTAATATCGATCAAATTTTCCTTATGATTATATTTATCTACCCTTTTAAAATTTCCCACCAAATCATATGAAGCCTTATCACTGCAAAACAAAAGTATTTAAAAGAAATGACATTGATTTGATTGAGACTATGAGAATAGATGAAAGTATTAATTGAAACTTAAGGAAATTAGGGCAGATGATGAATTTAATAAATTATATGTCATTGTTTAGTCAAAAGCAGAATCTAGGAATTTATTATTTGTCTACCTCGACTCGCAGCAGCAAGCTATAGTTTCAATATTAATATAGGGTCAGTTGAAAGAATACATAAAATAAATCTTTTTGCCTCTTTGGGTGCTTTTAACAATTCAATATTAATAAGGCAGCCCTTAAAAATCTGCAAATATTACTACCGCACTTCCCAATCTATTACAAATCTTGATAGAGAAAAAATTAAATATTTTGCATGTTTTTATTGTAAGGAGTTAAAATATACCATGATGGATTACTAGCTGAATACAAGAATTTTTTTAAAATACTATACAACATTTTATTGGATTTTCTAAATAAGTAAGCTAGATTAGTTAAAGATTTAGGTATAGAGTCTTGCACCGGTTTCAGGCTCAGTCGGTTATTGGGAGAAAGTTGGGATTAAGTTCAGTACCACGAAACCGGTCAAAAATCTACGATATATATACACATATAATAATTGTTATTATTTTAAATAAGATTATCATCTGGAAAGTTTGAGAAGAAGAATTATGCTATCCTGTGCTGATATTCCACCTTTGTTAAATTTTAGAAAAATATACAGTGGAAATGAGCAAAATCCATACTAGTGATCATTAATCAAGAAAACTAATCAGAATTATTTGAAATAAAATCTATCAAAATAAAGGCTTCCTTTTTTTGTTAAAAATTATCCGCCATATACTTATTATAATGTAATTTATTATTTTTAACAACATATATATTTATTAAGTGTTAAAATAAAAATGTAATGGTTATTTAGCTTTTGAAATTTCGTATCTAATTAATACAAGTAAAATTTTTATAAAATTTTATTATTAATCGATTTGAGATAGTATTATTCCATTATACTCAACTTATTACTATTCAAAAAATTTACATTTTTATTCTTTAAAGCTCTTTTCTCCGTGACTATAATGTTTGAGACCTCCAGGCTCGGACCATATAATAGCATTATGAACTTAATAATCTGGACCTGAATTAAAAACCCGGGCCATAACTAAAGCTAGACCGATTTTTTTAAAAAAAAATTACAGAATATAATTTAAAATATAAATCAGTTGAAAAAATCACGAGATGGATAATTTTAACATTCATTCACCTCTCATTGATTTCTTTTTGGAGAATAGCCATAAAATAATTTTAAAAAACCAGGGCCATAAAATGATCAAAGTTTATAAATCCTGGCCTGATCTACAAATAATTAAACCCGGGCCGGGCTAAAAATATAAATTTGGAGGGTTTGAAAATGGGAAGTTTTTTTAAAAAATTCGAGTCGGGCTTAAAAATTTGACCTAAGCAGATGTCTGATTATATTGCTCAAATTATTAAACTATCATTTTTAATATTTAATTTGATAATTCATACCTCTACAAAAAAATGATAATATTAAGGCTGGGAGCGATATACAAGATCGCCTTTCCGAAAAAAATTCCGACCAAACCAAGGTCAGCATAGGCAAGGGCAATCTGGGCCGCTTATCTAAAAACGCTATGAATCACCAAGACTCTATTAAAAGGAGTAGTGAGAGCCTTCGAGACTTGAATTATTGTAAATCAGACGATCAACCTAGACATGCTCTATCTGCCATTGATAATAGATTAGGGGTTCCAAATGATCTACTACCGGAATTGAGCGAAGATTTTACTAGGAATGCTGGGATTCGGAAAGTAAAAGAAGAAGAAAAGGTGGCTTATTGTGGAGTGACTTTCGATAATTTGTTGAGGGATTCGGTGGAGTTGAAAGTGTTTGAGGTTTTAATATTCTTTCTTTTGCTTTATACATTATTATGAAATTCGTGGATATAATTTTCCTTGTACTATCATAATAACTTAATACGAAAATGTTTTTTTAAACCATTCTAAATAAATTCTTTGCTAAAATTGATTTCAATTAAACTTTTTAACATAGGAACATTTTTTTTAGGGATTAAAAAATTCTTTTTTTGTTTGAAAATCTAAAATTCTGTCATTCTGATAGTGAATTAAAAAAAATTTCCTCAGTTTCTAAACAATAAATATCGAAAACAAAAGCAGCCACCATATGTGAAATGTTAACTTTAAAATTGTTTTACTTTTTTGGTAAGGACTGAGAAAATTAAATTTTTTTTATGAAATGCAGTTTTTGATATATTTTTCTCGAATTTTAAGTCATTTTTTGTTTTTGAATTTAGGTTTGGTTTTGAATTTGGTAAATGAAGATAGTATCTGATTAAAAAATTCTTATATACATACTCGTCAATGTCAAATTTAAATATTGAAAAAATAAACTAATTCTCTTAACAGCTTTCAAATTGAGCAATTATGTTTGTCTATAAAACGCCTCATTTTTTTATTCGAATTACTGGACAAAAATATCCCAATTTTCAAAAAAAATATGAAACTCATAAAGGAAAACATTTTAAAATTAGTTTCTATTTGTCTGGGCTACTTTATCTAGGACATTTCTGTCCGTGATTCGCTTATATTAAACTGGTATTTTTAAAGATATTTGACAATTTTTAAAAATAAATTTGCGTTTTTTTAACGCCCCAAAAAACTTTACCAATTTACACATATACTGTTTTAACAAAAACATCATTTGAAACTCAAAATGACTTTCTATAAGAATAGGAGCTTTAAATAGGATAAATATAAATTATTATCAAACAAGTGGTTTACAAAAAAATTTCATGATTATAAATGCCTATTTTGAAAAATTCTTTCAGTAAAAATAGGAGCTTTAAAGTGGATAAATATAAGTTATAATTAAACAAATTGCTTATAAAAAATCTCAATTTAAAGTTTTCATAAAGAAAAATAAAGCTAAGCGGTCCAGCAATTACGACATATCAGATTTTGGAAGCGATCAATCTTCCGAAGACGAGGCCAATCCAAAAAAGCCTAAACCTAATTGGGCCTTTGGTAAATATAATAATAAATTGATTTTAAAGCATAAAATGCGTGCAAAAAAGATGTGGGATAGATAGATAAAAAGAGAGCGAAATATGGCATGTAAGAATTTGATTCAGGAATGAGTTCTACATTAAACTAAGTTGGTAATATATTTTTGTTTTGCCTGGCTACTCAAACGAAATTTCTTTTTATTTGTCCATAAAAACCCGACCCAAAATAAAAATCATTTGGTCCGCCCAACCCGTATTTATCTAAATATAGAAATTATTTATTTTTTTTAAATAAGCCTGTTTGAGCCGGGTACAAGTCGTTTCTGCTTTTGCAGATCTCCAATATATAGTTTATAGGGGTTTCTAAAGTCAAACTAACGTTATTCATCTAATATTTAAAAAATATTTAATTTAGGACCTAGCCTGAAAGAGAGCGCAATGCTACAAGAATTCGCCCACGGTAGTTTAACTCCAACAATCAAATATTTTTCCGACGCTAGGCGTGAGCCTAAAATAACCAGTCTATTCGTAAATAAAAAACACAAAAAAATACCACTACTTCCTCAAACCCCGAAATTTACTCAAAACGGCAGAACCCCCCAAAATGGGCGAGAAACAGGAGATTTTACAGATATGGAAAGACTTTTAACACAAAATATTACTCAGGAATCTCCTAGAGGTAGTTCCATCTGTTGGGATGCTACCTTTAACAAATTTTAAGCATTATGCTAAACACATTATTTTGTAATTATTAAAAAAAACTGGGTCTGTTAAATGATCAAAATTTCCTATCATTATTACTTATATAATTTTTCTATTATTTTTTAAATATATATAAAAAGTATGTTTGTCATAACACAAAGGGTTTTTGATATTTTCTTTATGTCTTGAGGTGGAGGGGGGGGGATAAAATATAATGTTTTTAAATATCGTGACAGAGAAAAATGGGCATCCTTCTTTATGCCGGGAATTTTTTCAAAGGCTGCATTATTATATTGCGATAAACAATATAATTTCTAAGGCCTGACATCCCTCGCTCCCTTAAAATCTTCTGTTTAAAAAAATCTAATTCCTTGAGAGAAAAGCTTACCTTTAGTCGCAACTTCATAAATATATTAGCCATATATTCCTCTCATGCTAACAATACATTTTTTTAAATTAAATATAATCCAAAAAAAAAATGTTTATTTGTAAAAGGTTTTTTTTTTTTACCAATTCTCCATTTCTTAAAAATTCCATTCAATTTTAGTATAACTTGTAGTCGTTACTTATTTTCTTGTACATTTATTCCAGAGTGTGGAAATAAAAAATATTTTATTTTAGCTAAAAAAAATAATTATCAAAATTCATCGCTTACTAATTATTTAAAATTTTACTACAAATATCTTGAGTAGTATTTAAACTGTTAAATTGTTCCTATAGCATGCTACCTTTTTCAAAAGCGATAGCAGGTAGATCGCTTTTTTTGAGAGTAAAATGGCGCTCCATTTCGCTACCTTCAATCTTATATAATATACTATAAAATTACAATCTTTATATCACTTTCAATCATATATAATATATATAAAATTACAATCTTTATATCTAGAAATTTTTATTTCAAAATTTGCATTATAAATCTAATTTGTTAAGTAATTTATAATATTATATATTCCGCCAATATAGATAGATTTGGAAGAAATCTTGTAACAAATTTCCCTGGAAAATGATATTGTGGAATTTTCTTTTCTCAAATTTGGAAAATATTTTTAATTTAATAAAAGTTAGAATAGGGTTTAAGTTTATATGTAAAAAATGCTGGAGATGATATCATCCAGCAAATCAAGCAGTTTCAACCTGAAAAAACTTTTAAAAGTATTCATAAATTTTATTAAAATTATGAATATTTATGAGATTGAAAAATATCTTTATAATTTTGGTTATTAGAGGAAACTTCATCCCAATTAAATTTAATTCTAACTAAATTATTCAATCTATATGATCAGAACTGGGCAGTCATAATCAATTTTATAATTTAATACAATACGTCGATTTTTTTGGTCGTTAATACCCAATTTATTAATCTGATAAAGGCATTATTATTTCCAGATATCAAGATATTTTTTAAAATGACAATTTTTAAAAATCGTCTAAGTTTTATTAAAATATAATAAAACCCATTTAAATTATTTAATATCAGGCGTTACCTCTATATATTATAACCCATATAAAGGAAATACTTTATTTAGCAAAAACGGGTCCTTCCTCAAAACACCAATTTTATTTATATTTTAATGATATATGGCAGCAGTGACGTATATCTTAAAGAGGGAAACTTCTACAAAAGCTGGATAAAAAATTTATTTTAGGATTTCCACCATTCAAGTACTGATAACACTATTTGGAAACCGATCCGATATCACATCTAATTGCACTCTTTATCCAAATTTAATTTTTTAATGTATATGGGAGAATCTTTCTTAATTCATTATTATCCAATATTAAAAAAATTAATTAATATATGGGCTTCGTTATTAAATTATTTATATATTTATTCTTTGTTATAGTTTTATATAATTTTTTTAAACATATTTTAATATTTGATTTTATTTATTTTTTAAATATAATATCACTAGTTATATATTTGAAATTTTTTTAAAATTAAGAAGCCATTTTATTGAATCGGAGAATTTTAGAATTGTTGCATGTTTGCTTAAATTGTTGTAATTCATTGTATACTTCTTATATTACCTTTTTATTCAATGAAATCAACATTTATATAAGGTAAACACTATTAATAAGAATGATATAGGAGATAGGGTAAATTTTTTAACTTTTAACAATCCTTTCAAAGATACTGATAAATTTTATAAAAAAAATTATGTCATTCAATCGTTATTTACTAAAAAAAAAAGGGTATTTTGAAGAGAGTTGTGACATCAACAAACTAATTAAGAAATTTGATTGTGTTTTTAATGATAGAATTGGAAAAGTCAAAAATTTGGAAATAGACATTTTATTAAAAAATGACTTTAAGCCAAAATTTGTGAAAGCCAGGAGAGTGCCCTTCGAGTTAGAAGAAGAATTAGAAAACACTATAGAGCAATGGCGCCAGCAGGGAGTAATTAAGCCTGTCAGATTTTCACAATGGGCCACTCCATTAGTGTTAGTTAAAAAAAAAGATAATACGTTCAGAGTTTGTGCTGACTTTAGAGTTACTATAAACCCACAATTAGAAAGGTTCGATATCCGCTTCCAAGGATTAATGACATAATTGCTAAAGTAGGTAATGGAAAGTTTTTTTCAAAAATAGATTTCTCATCGGCGTATCTGCAGATTCCTGTATCTAAAGAAACTTCCAAATTTCTGACAGTCTCCACACACAAGGGTCTTTTTCAATTTAATAGACTACCTTTTGGGCTTACAGTATCAACTGCTTATTTCCAGAAGACTATGGACAAAATATTTGCTGATATTAAGGGGGTCATTTATTATTTAGATGATTTGTTAATTTTTGGTAAGGATAAGTTAGACCATTTTATTGAAAAGAGTGTTTGAAAGAATGTTGGAATTTGGGCTGATTGGAAATATAAAAAAAAGTGAGTTTTACAAAGAGAGTATAAAATATTTAGGTTATTTAATAAGTGACAAAGGCATACTGCCAATCAAAGAAAAAATTGATCCTATAAGTACAATGACCGAATTTAAGAATAAGGATGAATTACATTCTTGGTGGGTCTTATGAATTATTATTCTAGATTTATAAGAGATTTTTCTAAATTAGCAGCTAATTTATATGATTTACTTAGAAGGGGTAATAAAATTTGTTGGGGAATCAATGAAAGAACTGGTTTTTACGAAATTAGAGAAACATTGTGTAATGCACCAATTCTTGCACATTATGATAGAAATAAGGAATTGTTTATTTCAACAGATGCGTCCAATAAAAACATGGGTGCAGTCTTATTTCAGGTAGAAGAAGGTGGTTTAGAAAGGCCAATTGAGTTTATGTCTAAGGCATGGGCTGGAGCTGAAAAAAGATATTCAATTATTGAAAAAGAAGGATTGTCTGTTGTTTTGGCAGTAAAAAAATGGAAAGAATATGTAGTAGGTAGGAGATTTAAAATTTTTACGGACCATAAACCACTGGTGAATTTGTTTGGAGTAGATCCTGTTAAGCTTTACAATATGTTTCCAAGATTACAGAAATGGGCTTTTTGTTTAACCGGTTTTGATTTTGACATTAATTATAGAGGGGTAAGGATCAAATCATTCCTGATGGATTATCAAGGTTAATTAAGGAAGATATCATTTGTTTTGCTAATGTTAATAATGATATGAAGGATGTAAGAATAATTAACAATTTAGAATTGAATAAAGGAGAAACCTTTTTAGATTCAGAATTAATCCAAGTTAAAAAAATTGTGTTGGAAAAAGGTGAAAATGGTACGCTGATTAAAGGTTACAACTTACAAGGCATTCAGTAAGTTGTTGAATATTAAAAATGATTGTATTTTTAAGGGCGAACAAGTTATTATTCCTCAAAGTCAAAGGTTAAGAAAAAAGTTTCTTAGTGTGTTACATTAGGGACATATTGGGTTGTATAGGGTGTTAGATACTATGGAAAGGTATTTTTGGTGGCCAGGAGTCAATAAAGATATTAAAGAAATGATTTTTAGATGTAATATGTGCATGATCAATGCGCCTAAACTCCCTAAAGTTAAACAAAATTATTGGGTACAACCTAAAAAACCCTGGTACCGAGTCTATATTGATTTTTTTGGACTTATTAAAATTTTTTATGGATTAGTAATTATAGATGGGTACTCTCGCTGGTTAGAGATTATTAAGGTGAAAAACATTAATGCGACTACCACCATTATGGTATTAAATAATCTTTTTTCCAGATTTGGGTATCCAGTAGAACTGGTATCAGATAATGGACCAGCTTTTAGGTCTGTTGATTTTAATAACTTTTTAAAAGAAAAGGGAATTCTACATATATATACTCCTGCATACCATCCTGCGTCAAATGGTATGGCTGAAAGAGCTGTACGGTCAGCAAAAAATATGATATATAAATTAGGAGGCTGGGATGACATTTTGGAAGATGTGTTGTTAAGTTACTAAGTCATCACCTGCTTTTAGATTATTCGAAAGGGAGTTAAGATAGAAATGGAGTTTTTTAAAAGACGATGACTGTGATAATAGACCCAATGTAAAAAGAATAAATTTCAGAGAATTAACATTAGACAATTCTGTCTTTATTAAATTGGGCTCCAATCAAGAATGGCGTGTGGGGATTGTCGTTGGGAGAATTAGTAACGTCATTTGGGAAATTCAGGTAGATCATAAGTTTCTCTTTGTTCATATTGATCACATTAGAAATTATCAATAGGAATATATTGCATTATATTTTTTTACTTTTATATTGTTGGTTACAAATATTAAAGCATCAATACATATTCCATTTTTCTTAGTTATTATAATTATGATTAATAAGTTACATTGTTAATAATGACAATAATTCCCCCTTCCCAATTGTAAATGTTTATTATATTCCAAAATAAGGAAATAATGACAATAATTCCCCTCCTAAATGTAATTGTTTATTATATTCCAAAAAAAAGTTAATAATGACAATAATTCTCCCTTCCCAATTGCAATTGTTTATTTTATTCCAAAATAAGGAAATAATAATTCCCCTCCCAAATGTAATTGTTTATTATATTCCAAAAAAAGGAAATAATGACAATAATTCCCCTTTCCAATTGTAATTGTTTATTATATTCCAATATTAGGAAAT